ATTCCCCCAAGAGATTTCTACAAGATTAATCAACTAAAATGTTAAATCATTTCCATTTATTCATTAAATAAACATTCGTTCTCCCAGGAGCTCAGGGAGAGGGGGGAGGGAAGGTGACAATAAACACATGCAAATAAGCAAAGATTACATGCAGGTCATAATCCGTGTTAGGAAGAAAATAAACTCAGAGCTGTGACAAAGACTCCAAGAGACAAACTACAGACCAAATGATCTATTAACATACTTAATAGACTGACATCAGTCTCTTACTAGGTTGCCTTTAAGACTCCTTGACATTCATGGGGCGCCTGGGTGGCTCAGTTGGTTAAGCGACTGCCTTCGGCTCAGGTCATGATCCTGGAGTCCTGGGATCGAGTCCCACATCGGGCTCCCGCTCAGCGGGGAGCCTGCTTCTCCCTCTGACCTTCTCCCCTCTCATACTGTTTCTCTCTCAAATAAAAAAAATATAAAAAAAAAAAGACTCCTTGACATTTATATAGAAGATTCTGTGTATCAAAGCCCATCAAACTTATTTCAATATTACCTTTACAGAGCTAGAGCTAGTCTGTGAAATCTCTAGCACAAAATAAAGGACATCACCCAGTTAGTTACTACCTCTGGGACTGGGCTTTTGATTATATTTAGTGTGATCATACAATTTATTACCCAAACTGGAACATTTTCAAGAGAGAAAAGGGATGCTTTATTTTTATTTTTTTTAAGTTTTTTTTATTTTTTTAAAAAAGGTTTTATTTATTTGAGAGAGAGAGAGAGATAGCAAGAGAGAGCACAAGCAGGAAGGAGAGGGAGAAGCGGGTGGGACTCGATCCCAGGACCCTGGGATCATGAACTGAGCTGAAGGCAGATGCTTAACGACTGAGCCACCCAGGCACCTGAAAAGGGATGTTTTAATAATTATGCCACAACAACAGGCACAAACAAGGACCTTCCACCAGGGTAAACCAGGCCATGTGGTCACCATAACTATATACCATAACAAATATAACTAATCCAAAATTTTAAGAGCATTGTATAGTTCCACATGAATTTAAATTTTAAGTAACATCCAAGTAAAGGACCTAAGTTTTAATCTGGATCATGTAAACCAAATGAATCCCTTACTAAATTTAAGTGAAAAGGGAAAACAAAAAAGTTCTGAAAAAGTAATCAAAGCATCTTCATGACCTTGGGGTAGGGGAAAATTCCTTAAAAAAAAAAAAAAAGAAACACTAGCCATAAATAAAAGAGTAATAAACATGCCTACATTAAAATGAACTTCTGTTCACCAAAAGAAACCATTAAATGGGAAAAGATATTTGCAACAGATATACCCAGCAAAGGATTCGTACTCAGAATACTGAACTCTAGAAAAAGATCCATATTTCAGTAGTAAAATGGGCAAAAGATTTCAAAGGCATTTCATGAAAGGTGAAATCCAAATGACTAGGATACAAAAAAGTGTTCAGCTCATTAGTAATCAGGAAGATTAAAGCCAGGTACAATCACACTCACCAGACTGGAAAGGATTAAAATATCTGGTACTAAGTATTACTGTTGGTAAGGGATGTGGAACTAGAACTCTCATATACTAGTAACTGAAATAAAACTAGTAAACAACAACAACGAAACTGCTTGGCATTACCTAATAAAAACACACATTCCCCATGATCCTTCAATTCAAATATACACCCTCAAGAAAAGTACACAAACAGGCATCAGTGCACTTAAACACAAATGTTCATAAAGGCACTGTTCACAATAGCAAAAACTGTAAACAATTTAAACATTAACTGTAGAATATTAAAAACAAATGCAGAATAAACTTGTTATAGTCCTCATGAAATACTATGCCACAACAAAACAAAATCAAATATATACAAGATGATTCCATTTATATAGAGTTCAAAAAAGGACAAACGTAAACTCTATTATTTAAGGATGTAAACTTAAGTGGTAAGACTATAAATGTTAAATAATGTTTATATCCAGCTTAAGTGGGTAGTAGTGGTGATGGGAAGATGCAGGGAGTGGGAGGATTCTGGGATGCTGGCAATGTCTGTCTTGCCCTGGGTGGTAGTTACAACGATCTCTGTTTAAAAATATTTCATTCTTGGGAAGCCTGAGTGGCTTAGTCGGTTAAGCGTCTGCCTTCGGCTCAGGTCATGGTCCCGGGGTCCTGGGATCGAGTCCCACATCGGGCTCCTTGCTCAGTGGGGAGCCCATTTCTCTCTCTGCCTGCCACTCCCCCTGCTTGTGCTTGCTCTCTCTCTCTCTCTGACAAATAAAATTTAAAAAATCTTAAAAAAAAAAAAAATTCTTTCTTATCTATGTATCTTTTCAACATGTGGGGTATTTCACAATAAAAGGGGGAAAAAAACTCTTCCCAGAGGGGAAAAAAATTAACTTCCAAAAGAGAATTCTAAGAATGTCATTTGAAGAGATTAACTCAATTGATAGTTCACAAAGATAACAGGGGTCTCTAAATGCAAATACATACTGTATTCTAAACTCCATAAATAAAGTTTGGCTTTAATCTGTTAGACTGCCATTCCTCCACCAAATTTTGAAAAAGGTGAAATATCAGATATCAAATTACATCACAAGTCATATAAATTCTAAAATTTTAAGACCAAACACCCCACTTCTAATTCTGAAATTTGAAGTGCCCAGTGTTGACTGGATAGCTATATAGGAGTTTTAGATTAGATACTGCTAAGTAGAATAAGCTACCAAAATTTGGTAACTTCAGTTTTTGCAAATACAATCGGATTCCCAAACCTCTGTTACATATTAACTAACTTCTACTGCTTAAGAAAAGCATATATTATCTATATGGGATTAATTATCAAAGCCATAAGTACAGATATACATTCAATGATTTAAAAAAATATTTTCATTGCTGTACTCGTATTTATCAAGTCATGACACAAGGAACAAATTGGCATATGAACTGAACTATTACAGACTAATAAAATGGCAGTTTATTGACTCGAGAAGCTGAAAAGCCACATTTTTTAAATGTGGCTCATTAACAATATAGACTTTTTGTTTTCTTGTATAAAATGATATATTAAAAGATTTTTAAAAGACTAAAGTTAGGGGCACCTGGGTGGTTCAGTTGGTTAAGCGTCTGCCTTTGGCTCAGGTCATGATCTCAGGGTCCTGGGATCGAGCCCCGCATCGGGCTCCCTGCTCGGTGGGGAGCCTGCTTCTCCCTCTCCCTCTGCCTGCCTGTCTGCCTACTTGTGACCTCTGTTTCTCTGTCAAATAAATGGATGAATAAAAATCTTAAAAAAAAAAAAAGACTAAAGTTAATACATCAGAAATCTCAAAAATGTACATTTTTTTTCATTGTGAGGAGTAAAAGCACAGTCAACTCAGTAAGTCACTAAGCTGGCAAGATATCTTAAAATTCAGATTAGGTAAAACAATGCTTTTTAAAAAGTTATTAAACGACTTTAATGAAAAATACTGTATGTGGTTCTCACCAAGAACTTTAGAAAGCCTTTTTAATAATTTCATAAAGCCAGAAAAACTAAGACACTATACAGCTAAATATCCATGGGGTGAGAGTGGAAAAGAAGCGAAGATTTAAAAAAAAAATAAAATAAAATTAAGACTCCTTACTCGGGTATAAAATTTGTCCCAACACGAGTGTCATTAAAAAGGACCCCAAGGGCCGCATAGATGGCTCAGTTGGTTAAGCGTCTGCCTTCGGCTCAGGTTATGATCCCAGGATCCTGGGATTGAGCTCCGCATCGGGCTCCTCGCTCAGCAGTCGGCTTCTCCCCCTCCCTCTGCCTGCCTGCCGCTCCCCCCTGCTTGTGCTCTCTCTGTCAAATAAATAAAAATAAAATCTTAAAAAAAATAAAAAGGACCTCAAAAATGTCACTAAATACTTGTGTGATACTGTGAAATGACTCTCCTTCTAGTTATAGATTAAATTCTTCTTCTTTTTACAGATTTAGAAAATTTCTTCCTAGCCCTGAAGCTGTCTCTACGCCGGTATTCATTCCAAAACTCTACTAGATGTACTGGAAAGCTACCTTCGTTAGCTCGCCACCCTCTGCTAAGTATTTCAAACTTACGAGATTTGTTTTAAGAGCAGGAGCTAAAGTTTATTTTCTTCCTGGTTTTCTGGCGGAGCGAAGGCACAGCACGTGTGAACGGAAACAAAACCCATTCAAACTGGGCAACGCTTAATGAAATACTAGGCGTACACTTTCCTCCTCAACGCCCAGAACTCGCCATCCCAAGGAGCCTCCACAGGGACAGGTCAGCGCCCACGGACTACTCAGATCTGCCTTGGGAACAAGGGTCCTGGATCAAGCTTGACCCCTCCTCCCCACCGGCTTTCCAGAAACAGGGTCGATGCGAGAAGCGCAAGCGTTTTTAAAAGAGATAGTTGCACAACAGCCTTTGAGAAGGATTCCGGTTTAACAGGTAAATACCACGTAAGAGACAAGTGGGATGCAATCTGCTCGATGGTACCGGTGGCATTTGGAGACCGTCTGCGTCGCTGAGCAAACCCAAAGTTTTGGCACATTACTTAACAGTTCACCTGATGAATACCGTAACGAATCGAAATTAAGAACGTGAGAAAATAGGTGCCTTAGAATCAACAAATCACCTAACTCGAGCTAGGCGGAAAAATTCTTTGAATACTCAGGCTTTGTTTTGTGGCAAGACGACAGAACCCCCGAATTTCGGAGTTGGAAGACACGTCTCTCCGTGTTCTCCGGCCCGTTCTCGGACTTCAGGGCCGCCCCGCCCGCCCAGCTCTCGATCCTGTAGTTCCCGGATTGAAGGCGCGGACCTTCGGGGTAGAAGCCAGGAAGCCCGGGGGAGGCCGCGGCCCGGCCCGGCCCGCGACGCCCGGGCCCGGAGGGAGGTAAGGGAGCGGCCTCCGGGAGGACCACGGCGGGGGCAAGGAGGGAGCGAGGAGGCCGCGGGCCGAGAGCCGGGCGCAGCACCCCACCCCGAGGCCCGCCCCGGCGTACCTTTGGCGAGGGCTACGGTGGAGTTCTCGGTGTCGATGGTGTAGAGGATGCCCTCGTAGCGGATCTCCGCCTTGGAGATAAGGCTAATCTTGCTGCCAATGTAAGGGGTGCCCCCGCTCATGGCGCCGCCGCCGCCGCCGCTCCGGGCCGCTCGCAGAGAGGCAGATCCCACGCCGCTGTCGCCGCTCCGCAAGCCCGCTCGCTCCGTCGGCGCCTACAGCAGCCGCCTCAGACCCAACATGGCGGCGGCGCCGGCTCCGCTACCCTCCCCCAGCCTCCCGCCCTCAAGCCGCGGCGCGGCGGCGGCGGCGGCGGCGGCGGCGGCGGCGCGGGGCATGCTGGGCGGGCGAGGCCGCGCTCTCGCGAGACTCGGCCGGCTGCGGGCGGCTCAGCCTTACCGGGCGGTCGCGGTAGTGCCGCCGGTGCCGCTTGGCCTAGTTCGGGGCAGCGGTGCTCGCGCCGCTAGAGAGGCGATTCAGGGAGAGGCGAAGTACCTCGTGTCGCTACGACACGGTGGGCTGGAGTGGAGGCGCGCGCGGCCCTCTTGACCTCACCTGCGGCCTCCGCCATTTCCAGACCCGTCGTATTTTGTCTTGAGTCCCGTGTCCGCTAATGCGGATCTCAGCCTGGAAAGTGGCCCATCCGCCTCAGCTCCTGGCGAGCCCCTTTAAGACCCGGTCCTTTCCCCTTTGAGGCTACTGTGCCCCTCTTGAAGCTCTCAAGACCCCATTACAGCATCCCATAACCCAACCAAGTCCCCTCCTCTACTCCCCTTCGCAGTTGCTGGAGCTGGGACTCTGTCCAACACTTTTTTTGAGATGGTCTCATCCAGACTCCTGGCTTTCAGTGCCACTCTACACAGACCAATCCCAAGCATTTGTCTGCTGCTTTGATCAATTCTGTGAACTCTGGGTTCATATAAGCCATAGTCTTCTCAGCCTCTCTAGTTGGATGTCTAATCGGCATCTAATTAACTTTGTGTCTCCAAAGCAATGCTCCCGATTTTCCCTCTAAAATTAACCTTTGCCCACTATTCACCACTGAGGTAACTGGTACCATTTATTCAACTGCTCATCCTTGGAGTCATCCTTGACTTCTCTCTCACCCCGAAATCTGTTCTGATTGCAAATCCTGTCCTTTCCATCTATAAAATAAAAACTGAATCTGATCACTTCTCACCATCTCCATCCCTACCCCTCTACAACAAACCTCACTTACCCTGCCCAGGGTTACTGCAATTGCCTCCTAAAAGGTCCCTCTACTTCTCTTCTTGCCCCAAGTAGTTAACTCTCCACACAGCAGCCAGAGGGATCTTGCCAAAATCTAAGTCAAATCACGTCCTTCCTCTACTCAATACTCCTCTCCCCAGTGATCCTTTTGTCACACAGAGTGAAAGCCAGAATCTTTACTTAGGCTTTATAAAAACATGTATGATTTAGCCCCTTGTTGCCTCATTTCACCATTCTGTTTTAGCCACCCTTTCTTCACCCAGAAGCGCGGCAACGCGGAGAGTGGGAGGCAGGAAAGAAGACTAGAGGTTGTGTTGAGCCTGGTGCACAATGGCTTCAAAGGAAGGCTGTGAGATAACCTGCTTCAGTACCGGCTTCCTGACGGGGAGTTGAGCTCTTACTCGTGTTCATTCCTTTCCCTTCCAGGCCTGGAACCTAGCTTAGCTTTGCATGCTTCCTGAGCTCATCCTTTTCCATCTCAGAGCTGATGATTCCCAAATTTACATCTTCCTTCCGGATCTCCTGACTCCCTTGTCACACAAACTATGTACTTTCTAGATGCAGTTGTTTGGGGTGCGTCTCACAGGCACTTCCAACTCAACATGTTCAAAATTATCTGCATCTGTACCCTTCCTTTCCCCAAATAAACCTGCCCTTTATCCATGCTCCTCATTCCCATCACTGGCCCCAGGACTCAACCAGGTATCCAATACTGAAACCAAGAGTACTCCTCTAGATACACTCCATGGATCACCAATCTTGTTGCTTCTAGTTAATGTCTTGCAACTCATGGTTTCCCGCACCCTATGGCACCAGGAACTATGCATAATTGTAGCTGATCAGTGTGATAGCCCATAGTATATTATGTATATGAATCTCCACCTTGTGTGCTAGAAAACAGTTAAGAACTGTGACATGTTTCCTTTACCATGGCTTCCAAAAACCCAAATCCCATGTTGCTCCCCTGCTTAAGAGCCACAAGATTCCAATTCCAATGTGTGTATAGGGATTTCCATACCAACAAGCGATTCTTGGACACCAGCTGGGGTGTCCTACAATTCAACTCAATTCTGACACTGTCTGCACAGAGATAGCATCAGATCCCACAGGTTGAGGTCTCAGTCCTACAAGACTGCCCCCCTTTCAGATGCCAATCACAAGCCCAGGTTATCACCTGTGCTTCCAACCACCCAGCTACAGACTGGGGGCTCCAACGACCCCCAGCCCCCTTGGACTTCAGACTCAGTCACAAGTCCAGGTTGTTACCATTCTTCGACCAACTGGCTATTAATCAGAGATTCCCACAACCCCCTTTCTTGGGTTCAATTCATTTGCTAGAGTGACTCACAGAACTAGAGAAACATTTTACTTACTAGATCACTGGTGTATCATAAAAGGATATAACCCAGGAATAGCCAGACGGAAGAGATGCACAGGGCAAGGTATATGGAGAGGGGCCTGGAGCTTTCATGCCCTCTCTAGGCATGCCACCCTCCCTGCGTCTCTGCATCTTCACCAACCTGGAAACTCTCAAAACCCCATCCTTTTGGGTTATTATGGAAGCTTCATTACATAGACATGGTTGGTTAGCTCATTGGCCATTGGCCATTGATTCAATCTCCAGACTCCCTTTCCTCCCTGGAGGTTGGGAGTGGGGGGTAGAGAGTGGGAGGGTGGCACTGAGAGGTCTAACCCTGTAATTACCAGGTCCACTGCACTGGCAATCGGCCTCCATTCTTAGGCGCTTTCTAGAAGTTACCTCATTAACATACAAGAAGACAACTTTATCACTATCATTACTTAGGAAATTCCAAGTGTTTTAGGAGCTCTGTTCCAGAAACAGGATGAAGACCAAATGTATATTATAAATCACAGTATAACAAGTTCACCCGGGCTTCAAATGCCTTGAGGGCAAGATATGATCTGTGTGTCTTATAGGCTTTCCCTTCTAGTAGGACCTGGACCCAAGCATCAGGAGATGATGATGTCTTTCAGTTCAGGCCCCGGGCTTCTGCACTGCCACCCATTTAACCAAAGAGGAAGACTAGCTCTGTGTTTTGAATTTTCATCTATTCTTATCTGTTGCTTTACCCCATAGAGATGTTTAAAGTATTTGTAGTTTCTTCTTAGCCACGCAGAGCCCTCTGACTGTGGCAGGCACCGTTATCTGCCTGCCCATGCCCAGATGTGGTAAATGCCCCCGGTAGCCACTAATCTCTTCTCATCTATGAAGTCTTGTCCCCCTTCTCCAGAATTTAGTTCCTTTAGACTACTTTGTGATATCTGTAAAAAGAAACATATTTTACTTTACCCATTCTCTCCCCCTCCCCCCCTTACTACAGGGGCAGTGATTGTCTGCTGTGACCTTTTCAATCTAATTGGAAGTGGAATTTGGGAGATTTTTTTTGGTCATATATATCCATTAGGCATATGTCCATTTTATCCTTAGAGAGCCCTTCCAGTCAGTTTTTCTTCTAGAGTTGGGATAGACTGCTAGCCTTTTCGTTAAGTAATATGACATTGTTGGCTTGCATTTAAGGTTTATGTTTTTGGAAAATATATCCCTTCAAAGAACCACTCTCTGTGCAGTGAGATGTTCATTCTACGAGCTACACATCAAAACTGAGACTAATTGACGGTCCCATGTTTGCTTTGCAGTGCCAGTACATTATGTGAAATTGTGACTGATTTCTATCTCTCTCCCTCTCTCTTTTCAGAGCATGATCATTGAATTTCATAGGTAAATGCACAGATGATACAATTTGTTTGCTGCCTTTTATTTTTATCTTTTTAAAAAGATTTTATTCATTTGAGAGAGAGCGAGAGAGCATGAAAGAGCATGAGCAGGGGGAGAGGCAGAGGAACAAGCAGACTCCCCACTGAGCAGGGACCGCCCCCCCCCAACTCAGGGATCCATCCCAGGACCCTGAGATCATGACCTGAGCCGAAGTCAGGCGCTTAACTGACTGAGTCACCCAGGTGCCCCTATTTGCTGCCTTTTAATAAATAGTAGCTCTGAATAACATGTTTTTATTTCTAATAAATGAATTTATCCAAAGAAAATCTTTCTAAAATGCAAATCTTATGATGCCAGACCTGGCCCTCAAGCCCTATCCCAAAAAACCTTCGATGACTCCTTGCAGCTCTATGACCTTAGAATAACCTAGGGTCTGTTGTGTGAACTGGCTTCTGCTTAATTCTCCTGTCTGACCTCTAACCCCTCTGCTGTCTGCTCTTGTAGTCAGTTGGGGTGGTGCACAATCCCTGGTGGGCGGGTGGGAGGTGGTGGTGTCTCAGACCAGGTTTGGCCGCTCACCGCTGACGAAATCCAAAGGCACGCGGTGGGTGGTGGGGAAACGAGAAAGGACTTTACTTCGGTGAGGCCAACCCCGGGGAAGACAGCAGACTAGGGTCTCAAAGATTATCTCCAAAGTGCAGAAAATACTTCCAGGTTTATTAGGAAAATGTGGGACAAAGGTGGGTGGGTGTGAGCAGGTAGGCAGTGAAGCTCAAATGGATCACTATCTTTTTTTTTTTTTTTTAAGATTTATTTATTTATTTGACAGAGAGAGACAGTGAGAGCAGAAACACAAGCAGCAGGAGTGGGAGAGGGAGAGCAGGCTTCCCTCCGAGGAGGGAGCCCGATGCAGGACTCCATCCCAGGCTGGGATCATGACCTGAGTCAAAGGCAGACGCATAACAACTGAGCCACCCAGGCGCCCAAATGGATCAGTATCTTAAAGACAGTCCTGGGCAGGGTCTGCTGGCTCAGGACAGTCCTTATTGCTTGAGGGGGTAGTTTTGTTTCCCAGTACGGGATGCTTTGCCCACAGGGTCTTCCACCTGAGCCAAGGGACAGGCTGTAAAGAAGAATCCAATTAGAAAGTTTGAGGTCAAAATTGGAGGCAGTTAAAGTCCTCTTTCATTGTCTCTACCCTCCAGCTTTCGTCCCTCGGTTCCGGAAGCCACATTAGACTTCTCTGGGATTCTTCTCCCTCTGAAGTCTTTTCCCTGAGGCTCCTCGTCTAGATAACCAGTCCCAGGGCCTTCTCACCGCTGTCCCGAGAGCGGCTGTCTAAGACAGTTCCTC